ATTTTGAGGCAAAATTGGCATAACAACAAGAAATACAGGAATGTTAGTGACGTCATGGGACGACAAACAATGGCTTCGAAAATACTGTATCGAATCCAAAGCATGCTTCTCTTCGTTTAAGCACTTTGATCGTTAATCAATGTTCGGATACCTCGATAAAAATTCCACTGGAGGGGGAAATAAGTTTTGGTTTTGTATGCTTATGGGCTCTAGCCGCAGCTTGAAGCGCAATGGAGGCATCTCTGTGATTTACGGGTATTTTCCACTACTTCTTTAATTTTCAAGCCTTTCTGTAGCTTAAGCGCTATGTCTACCTCAAACGTCTCAAAATAAGTTGCAGAGCCTAAATTGAAGACAGAAGGTGACAGTGTGCGTGTTCCAGCATTAAATATGGTCTTCCTCGTTGAGATGTATTGCTCCGAGTAACGCCTTCTTGCAGCGTAGTCCACAGCCACGCATGTTTGGAAGCACACGCAAGCCGTATTTCTTTCTCGTTGCCTTGGGTGTTTGAATGCATTACAAGCGACAGTGGAATGCCCCATCTTATTCTACTTTAGAGGGACGGATGCAAGTGTCATGTTGTGCAGGACTTGATTATGCAGACGAGGAAGTTCACCTCAGACCGCACGAACAGGAGACAGAAGAGTCACTGGTGGAGAATGTCCTTTGGCTACTTCTAGAGGGGGTAGTCTTGCTGATCTTCTCCGGCTCAGTCGACTGCGGTGGCGCCACTCGGCTTATTTTTAAGAATAAAAAAAAAAGGAAGGATAAAGCATTTGCCGTTGATCAATCCCTTTTTGGGATGCGGCACGCATTCTACTTCCATTTGTACATTCGTAGTGGCGTTTGAATGCGATGTGGCCTATACTTGCGGGGGCCAGCCGATGTACAAGTCAGTGTTTTTATCCTCCCAGACAAGTCTGGTACCAATTAACCGACCCCGGAGGGATGGAAGGCTTGGTTGGCCCGGGCGACTCACGACCCAGGATTTGATCCCCGGACCGCTCGCGTGGTAAGCGTGCCACTTGCCACTACACGCCGCCCTTCCAGTATAGACCCATGAAAATTCTGAGAAAGCACCTATGATTGGCAAGACAGAGTACGAACGATCGGCCGCTCTCGCTGTGCTGATCTCAAACTTTCAAGAGACGACCGCTCAAAAAGAAAAGGTCACTCAAAATGGCATAGGTTGCCCAAAGCACTCTTGTTTTTCCCTCCACTGGAGAGTTGCTTTTCTGGAAGCTTCCGTTGCAAACCTAGCGATACAAGCCAGAAAGAGTAACCAGGATGTCTTTGTGCAGGGTGAGTTGTGAAGCACCGCCCAGTTTACGCCCCTCACAAAACTGCAGAAAAACTTCTGCCCAATTTTGTCTGGGAGCGAGTTGGTCTCATCAACACCGTGAGGAGGCTCAAACTTTGGCAACCAGCTACTGCGGACGTTTTCTACTATTTCTCGAATTTTTCGTTACTCATTCTCCCTCCTTTCAGCTTCTCTTTCATTCACTAATCTCCAGCTACCTAGATTAAACCTTTGATTCCCGTGACACACACAGTACCAATCGGTAAATCGTGTCGATAACTATGGGATAGTCAAGGTAGTACATATGCCTCGTGAAGGGACACAGCGTAAGAGGATGCCTCAGATGAGTAGGCCCTTCGATCTTTAACATTCTCGACTATTGAAAAATCCATTGAAAAAATACCCCCTCCCCCCTTCCCGTAGGTATGATACATATCTGTGACCGAAAGGCCATATTTGTGGAAATAAAACAGGTCTTAAAGGGGGTAGGGAGTTATGAATCTGATCCCTACACTCTTCCCACCATGCTCTCTCAGAACTCCGATCTCCAACTTCGCCAGGGTCGTCTGTCTCATAGCTCATCCAACTCTTTTCACTAGGGCTAAATTTTTGATTGTTTTTACTTTCCGCTTTAGCGGGAGTTCACTATGACCCTTGACCGTCGTTTCAAATCGCGCACCAGATTCGAAATATTGCGCCCTTTAATCGGTGCCTCCGTAGCCAGATTTGGGCTTTTCAACGGCAGAACAAGTCCTGAGGTCTGGATTACTTGCTGAAACCGGGTTAGGCCATCAACATCTGGAAGGAACGACTGGACACGAATTTTGCTCCCAGTCAGCTGCAACTAATTGTAATGCCCCCACCAGCAAGAACCAAAAAAGGATGCGCTCACTAGTCTTCAACTGGACGCATCTTTGTGGTGGAACTTACGCCGCTACTATTGAAATATCGCCTAATTTCAGTTAATTTCGAATCGATGCTTCTGATTTATGACTGATTTGGTTTCTGAGGAATTATTGTAGCACACCCACGAGTGCATAGTAATAATTAATGAACGCAAAACTTACGGTATAGCTTAGATTTCGAGAAAATGCAATCCCCTCAGTCATACAATCCCATTTGCTGAATTCACTTTCACGTCATCACTCGTCACCCTCTCGTCATAGAAGCTGTGAATCCCTTGCAGGCGTCCGAAACTGCGCTGGCTGTAGGCCAAAATAGACAGCCTTCCCGTCTGGAATAACTCGATTATACTTTTCATTGTTGATGAATGTAACGAGGATGCAGTCTTCTAGGGCTCATATGGCCTTATCGCCGCATGGTCATTAAACGAATTAGGCATCCGCTTTATAAGAATAACCAGTATCGCCGATTGCCTCACTTTACAAATGACAACTCTACTGCAAGTAGGGTTGCTGGTGGCGCTTTGGCGCTTCTTGTAGCAGCAGTGCGTGGCTTTCCTATACAATTTGAAATAGGGGGGTGTTTACTTTTTTTCCTGGGTGCCGTTCTATAGATGTTATGGTGTTCTCTTATTGTTCCTCGAGTACTGTACGCCAAAATTAAGGCTGCCGCCGAATGTTGTTCAAATGGCGACCAATCTGATTTCTGTATGGTTTTCAACATGCTGTCGCCAATGGAACAATCAGAAGTGATGAGTTATCTAGGTGAGTGAATATTTTAATGCTGTAAAGGTGCTGAGGTGGGGCTGGTTGTAGTGGCAAGCGGCACCACTTCCAAGCGCATAATCTGCGCTCAAACCTAGGATTGAGCGTTGCTTAGGCCAACTGAGTCATCTTCTCTCCCCCGAGTTGGCTTATAGGTACCAGAATGGGAGCACAAACACTGACTCCGCTACCCACCATGCCTCTTCCCCTTCCCGAAGTCAGTGTATAAGCCAATTCAAATGCCACGACGATTTTGAATGGATATGGAACGCGTGGCGCATACCGCAGTGGAAACAACGCCGAACAATTTTGTTTTTTATTATGCGCCGATGTATGCCACGGCGTGTGGCAGCTGTATGGCCATTTCTTTCGGCTCGAGCGTTCCTAAGCAATTGCCTTAACTCCTCATTGAATAACCATCTTGATTTCAGTCTTACTGTAGGCCCGAGCTTCTTTACTAAATATTCTAGAACGTTGGTCAACAGCAATACGTTGAAAAGCCTCCACTATCCTTAAAAATGGCCACAGAGCCTTCAAAAGAACCTCACCCTCAACAATCCTAAGGTTATCTCTCGTCAAGTTACTCTTTTCTCGACACCAATTAGGAGCATCAAAGTGTGACCGTTACAAAAAGGCGTTCGTGCGAGCCACTGTCAAGTGACACTTTTGAAAATGACGGGACTTCCTTTGAACGTTGGGTCCCGCCACTATTGAGTCGCTGGTACGTTCGACTCGCTGGTGCAAAGTTCGATTCGCTGGTGCAACGTTCGATTCGCTGGCGCAACGCTTGGATCCAGCGATTCGCCAGCGATTGACATGGCTTGACAGTGGACGCTAAAAGTAGCGGGCCTCCTTTGAACGTTGGGTTTCCCTAACTATTGAGTCGCTGGTACCTAGTTCGACTCGCTGGTACATCGTTCGACTCGCTGGTGCAAAGTTCGATTCGCTGGCGCAACGTTCGATTCGCTGGCGCAACGCTCGGATCCAGCGATTCGCAAACTATGACATCGGCCTAATGGGGATGCTAGTCCTCGGTTACGGTAGATGCGCAATCTTGGCAGTGACGCCAGTAAAGGATTGATAGGGCTCACCATCAGCCTTTGACTGGATGGAGTCTGGAGTGCAAATGATTTCCGTTTTCTCTGAAGTTCGTACTCCCTCCACAAAACTACGTACACTGCGCGCCTACCGGTAATTGAAAATCGGCATATTCCTCTAGTTTTACACCGAACGGCTTGCTGATCGTCGTCTGGGAGAATTTACATCAAATCGCAGTGAACTGAGTTTAGAAAGATTCCACCATTGGTTGTCCTCTCTTTTTAATTGTAGTGCCGACAAATTCAGGAATCGATCTACGGTTGAATAACAGCAATTTTGAGGTACAAGTAAATCAGTATGTAAGAAAAGAACTCATCAAAACGCTTTGGTTAGGAGCATGCTTGCTGAGGTTGTGCTAAGGTAATGACGGACTGAGCGCGGAAAGGAAAGGATGGTGCCAGAGAGCGCATATATGAGAGAGACCAGACAATAGCTCGTTGCGGGCGGAAAAATTTAAGCTATTGAAGCTATCCTCGCAAGGCCCTTGCACCCTTGCGGGGTGAATTCCATGCACGCGGGTGCCACATCTACGATTGCCCTTTAGAGGACTATCCTACAAACTGAAGGCAACCATTTACACGAATCCGCCTGAGATATATCTTTAACCCTCAAACTGTGCATAAAGGGGGACACTTAGCTCTACATTAATATTCTTTACGGTTAATATCGATGAATGGTGAGGTGGCGAAAAGCACTTTTCCTTGGCTACGAGCACTTTTCCTTGGCTACGAGCACGGCCAGAAAATCCCACTACTTAATTTATTTATTCATGTGCTCAATAAGGGTAGAAGACGAAAGACTCAAAATTGCAGCCGTACCAGTAGAAGTAGGATTCACCTTCCTTCAATAAGAAAGGGGAATCTATGAAATTCAAAGCAGAAGTTTTGTTTGAATGATCAAATTTTTTTCTATTCAAGGAGATTCATGCAGTGGTGATGCTGACGAAGCGCTCAAAATTATGGAGAAGCGAAAGCCTAACTTCATGCGTTTTGGCAGAAGTGAGTATGGAACAATTGTAACAAAATCTCAATTTTCCCCCATAATCTTCTTTTTCAGGTGCGTCGCTCGGTAAAAAAGGTTCTGATCCGAATTTCCTCCGATTCGGCCGAAACCAACCGAATTTCCTCAGATTCGGTAAAGCCGCCGGTGATCCCAATTTCCTCCGCTTCGGTGAGTTACCGTAATCAAAAATCTGCCCCACACAGATCCCATTAGCGATCGTGATTTTCAGGACGATCTGCTGGTGACCCAAACTTCTTGCGATTCGGTAAACGAGGCGTCGACCCAAATTTCTTACGTTTCGGACGTAAACCGAATTTCCTTCGTTTTGGCAAGTAGACGAAAAAATCATCACGTCAATTCAACTTCATCGTTCTTCACCTTGACTTCTTCATCATCACGACATCCCCTCATCTGAGTGGCAACGACGGGCTGGTTGGAGCGCTTGGGCAACGCTCATTTCTCGAATAGATTTTTTCTAGACATTATTTCGTGAATTTCATTTCTTTTACGCGGCCAAATGTGCATGTGGTAACATCAGCGCACACATGAACAATTTTAATTTTTCTCTTGTGTGCAAAGTAGAACGCGATTTTCTTTCGCCGATACAATCCCGATGAGGAAGGCCGTTCTGAGCTCGTTATGCGATTCCTTGAATCAGAAGACACTTGACGCAACCACCTGATCACAATTATAGTAAGGCCGATGTCAGACTTTGCGAATCGCGCGATTCGCTAGCGTCTGCGGTCGCGTCGCGGCCAGTGAATCACTCAATTGGCTGGTACCGCAACGCGACCGCGGACGCTAGCGAATCGCGCGAATCGCTAGTAGCGAATCGCGCGATTCGCAAAGTCTGACATCGGCCTAAGCTTTCACAGAAAAAAAAAACTTTTTTCTTACATATTGAACGCAACATGGGACGCCTAAATTATGCACTAGGATCTACATTCAGTTCGTCAAGCTTATGAGGACAGCACTGCAGATCTTGCGTCAGGCCAAATATGGCAGTTTAATTGACCCTCGAGGAAATGTTTAGTTGTACTACACAGCGGTTTATGAAGAGGTCTTCAGTTAGCAGAGGGTTGAACAGACAACCAAATAAGCATACATTCGGCTAATGCATCAGGAACATGGAGGTCTTGCGTGTGAATTTAATTTAATTCGTGTGAATTTAATCGAGGCCTTCGACCCATGATGGCACGTGGCTCTTTTTTGAGCTAGGACTTCCTCATAGCTTACGACTACAAAATTTTGATGGGCATGTTACTGGCAGTGAAACGGTGCTTTCAGAAGTGAAAGAACTAGCGCAGGAACCAAGCATAGCTTTTCCCTATTCTACTGCTTGCATTACCGTGTTATTAGGTGAAGTTATGGCAAAGAAATGGAGCACGAGTAAGAAACTGTACTTACACAGGTTTGAGGAATCCATTGAAAATTGAAGGAGCTAAAAAATAGGCTCTTCCCGTCTCCGTCATTAGTAATGTTTGTAACAAATTTTCAAGGTGCCGTCTTCACAGTCGCTAACAGATGTAGGACGTATGAGACAAGGGACCCCGTTTAGCTCGCAGAGTTCAAGGGCCTAATCCCACAAACCTCTTCTCAAATCTCAAACCAGATCCTGGATCGTACGCCGCTCGATTTGCAATCCCTCCAGGTTCAGTAAATTGGTACCAGTCTTGATTGACAGGTAAAAACTCAGCTCTGCGGCACCGACTGCACCAAAAAATCATTTATAGGGTTTGAGAAAATTGAACGAACTTAGACATATTGCACGAGGCGAAAAGTAGCTAACTAAGGCTAAATGAACGGGTTGTGCCACCCGTACGGAAACGCAGTGCATTTGTCACATCATGGTCCGACAATGAAGAGCTTCGTCAGATTAACGTACCCGCACAGTACCATCACATCTCAAGCAACATGTTGAGGGATCCTGAAATTACTGCATAGATAAGATTATCAAACGACACATAGGTCAATTGACCGGTGAAAAAAACGCCCTCAAGACATAAAAGCCCATCCATTCCGACATGAAACAGACAATCAATTGAAGCTCAAATCTACGAATGTGGTAGAATTCTACATGAGGTCGACCAATCATCATACATACCATAGAAGTAACACTGAGATGTAAACAAAACTTTGTTTGTAAACAAAGAAGCAAGGGGTTGCATATAAATAACACGACTTATAAATTAGATGCATACTAATCCGGTTTCATCTTCAATAAAAAATGCCATATGGTCTCTAATCGGAACATTTTGCTGATGCTATGGAAATTACTCGACAGTAGAGCATTTGGAGATAGATAATGTGCGCAGCGAGCGGCAAGCTTGCAGAAAGGCTTAGAATCAGCGGGACAAAGTTATCAGTGTTTCCTGGGGAGAAAATCTCTGAAACCAGTATCCGCTGAGCTATCTCTCATGAGCTTACTATATTGGCAAGGCTAGGGGATGAATCAAAAAAAGCAGCTTTGCCATGACACACATCATCGAAACTTTTTGATCGTACACGTGCCGCCACTGGTGGAATTTTTCGCTGCAGAATACCTACAATCCCATATGCTATGCAGAACCAGCTCATCCTTCATTGTCGTCCACGTCCTCAGATGTGACTTCATTTACCATCACAGTCGAGCATATGGAGTAGCACTACAGTGATCGCTCTAGCTTGAAGCTGCTACATAATTTCTTCAATCGTAAATGATTGATTTCCTCCTAGAGAAAGTGGCTTTTGCCGTGCAAAATCGCTTTTGACCAGCGTTTCCCCAAACGTACGAACGTCACTATCCGTCAAAGAAGTCATTGGCTTGAAATGTTATCCATATTTCCGGTGGAAATGTTCTGTCGTCGGATCAACCCAACTCTTAGTGAATTTGTTTTGATAGAATGGAAAGTACTCTTCAATTTCCGGCCAAGATCGTTCGGAATGCATTCAGTAAAGTGAAATTGTTCTGTTTTGAATATTCTCCGGGGACTTTTTTTGCCCCCATCCATCTGTATTCTTCAAAATATCTCTGCGATGACGAGCGCAAGAAGAATGCTTGACGCCTCCCAGACATGTACCCAACGCAAATAACCAATGTGATCTTCATCGTCATAATTGTCAGAAGCCTTGAGTACATTAATGTTGCCCAGTGAATTTAGTTTACGTTTCACTTTGACTTACCGATACCGAATCATAAGACGCTACCACACGTACAGTCCAGATTCTAACCAGGGAAGGCATTCAACTTCCCATGGAACTTTGAGATGAGACCCAGATATATCGATAGAGCTTCAAACGCTGATTACAAATATGGAAACTAAAACTGCAAAATGAAATTGCCAAGGAAGTTGTGAGCAGTCAAAGTTGGCTGAAGGTAAAGCGTTACGTATCAACCGTGGTAGTCTCCGGGCTTTCAAAGTCGCCGTGGAGTAGTGGTAGTGCTCTCGAAATTTGCACACCAACGGGGAAGAGAACTTATGACCTCCCGGGTAACAGCAAGTGCACTTCCACTACTACCGCGGCGACCCTGTAGCCTGGGGTCCAGCACGGTTTATATGCAACGCTTTTATTTAGCCAACTTTGACTGCTCACAACTTCCTTGGCAGGTTCATTTTGCAGTTTTGGTTTCCATATTTGTAATCAGCGTTTGAAGCTCTATCGATATATCTGGGTCTCAATTCAAAGTTCCATGGGAAGTTGAATGCCTTCCCTGGTAAGTCACGATTAGACGTGTCTTGAGTTTTGACTGTGCCTTTCACCGCAACTTGATAGAATGCGTGTGGATAAGGCTGCTACTGAATACTCTTGGATATCAGCAGATCTAATGCTAGAAGCACTTACCGCGCAAACTTCCTAATATAATCGGCAGCCCCCTCCACACAGCACAGACACCCTATTCAGACTCGCGGATATGGAATTATATGTTAGAACCCCCCCCCCCCATTCCGATTTTCTCCAGAAAAGATACAAGTAATAAACATTCTGCAACATTTGTGATAGCAGAATCCCCGTAGCGTCGTTTTCAACGCAGAAAGTTTCTTTTATTTATGCTGTTGAACCACACTGGACCTTACTGCCACGTTATTTACAAAGAGTATAAGTGAATGTTACGCGGCTTTCCACTCTTGGCATCTTCACGATCGTTCAAGTCATTGATGCTAATCTTGAGCAAATATCGACAACAGCTTTCGAGTCACCTTCCCAATATAAAATCAATCCCAGCCTAACTCGTTCATTTTTATGTAGTCACGTCAGGTGGCTCGTTAGACTGAACAAAGTCAATCAAACTGTCTCCTTTGAGATACATTCCATCATTTGCATAAATTACCCTTCCTGGCCGACAAGGCATCAATAAATAAACAATATAAACAAGTAAATCAAATAGACAAACAAATAGCTTAGCACAGTTGCATCTGCGTTCTTCTTCGGCATTCATAAAGCATAATTTTTGAGAGATTCTCCAACAGGCAGTGTCTTCCCCAAGATTAAATATATCATTTTTGCTCATGTTTCCTTGAATATGAAAATTATTTTCTTTCCTCCGGTGCAAGATAACTAGCAATACACCATTGTATGAACCTACCAAAAACGACTGCACAGTCTGAAGGAAAATTCTAACAGCTGCTTCAACCTGCATCCCACTTCATAGTCAAAGTTTCACATTTGAAAATAAAATTCACAAAAGAAGACAAGAGAATGCGTACAAAAAAGCAATCATAACAACAAGAAAAAAAATCACTAAAAAACAATTATTAAGCACTGCGCTGAATGAACGAAGTTATACGACTTTTCTAGCATAGTACTGGTGCGTAAAAATAGTTTTCAATGGCAAAAACTGGAAAAATAAAGTGGTGGAAATTCACTGACCCGCCCTCGTGTCCTTCGTCTTCAGGAACCTTGTCGATCCAATTCAGCACCGGTCGCATCGGCACGAACGGTCGTCGCTGACCAAGCTCTGCGTTCAGCTTCGTGTACACATACGTCTGTCACCATAGCAACCCCAGGTCACCTCTCTTTATATTCAAATGATTCCACATTTTGAAAGGTCAGTAGTAAGATGGAAGACTCAGGGTATTGAAAGAAAACATGAAGTGTAAGGGCCATCACATCTCTTTGCATACACCCAATCATCATCTACTTCCCCACGAATGGTGATGTGTTTGAATGCGTAATGGATCACTACATGAATGGTGATGGTCAGCTGATAAATAGCGCAATAGTTCCTCCATAGAAAGTGAATGTCTCTGCTCTCCGAAAGCAAAAAATAGCAGCTAATTTTAGAAGGAATCCCTTTTTCAACTAAACAATGGCGAATCGCACCTTCGACCGATGCACCATGCTTCTCCGGTTCCTTCTGATATATCCTAGATTTTTGCCACTTGAATGAATCTTGTTGAGGTGGAGAGAAGACAAGAACCGAGAGAGCGGCGAGGCGTGAGGGCGAGTAACACAGAAAGTAAAACTTTGTCTTCTAACCAGAGAATTTAAAGGAAACTACAGCTTGAATTAGAGTTCGAGTTAGATGAAGAATGACATCAGATGGAAGCAAGTTTCTGTAATTCTCCCTAGAGTTGTATGAAAGGCTTAAAACTTTCTGTAAAGGCAACTCCATTGTCAGACAATATTTGAAAGCGATTGTGATTGTAGTGAAAGGGTACACCGAAGCCGGAAGCAAGCGCTCATGGCCTCAGATTGGGAAGGACATTCAAAACAGGGTAGGATTCAATCCTCCCTAAGGGGTTGGGGGACGAAAATCCCTTAAATTTATTTGTTTTGAACGATATAGTTTCTTCATTTTCAGTGCATGTTTACTTTGACCTACATACATACATTAAATGTAGGCCCTTTATCAGGACAATCCCAGTTGGGAAGACAGAGAAAATTTAAAGGGATTTTCGTCCCCCAACCCCTTGGGGGAGGATTGAATCCGGCCCAAGGGTATTTCAAAACCGCGAACTCGGACTAAGCCCAGGAGGGGGAGAAACGCCACGGAGAAGAGAAGTTGATCCTTTCAGAATTTCTTCCCATCCAGGCTAAGTCCCAAGTATTATAAGTGGCTCACTCAATTGAATGTTGCCCCCCCCCCACACCCTCCCAACGACACAGCGCCCAGAATTAGCTCTGCTGCGGAACCACTGAGTGATTTCAATATAACCATTCACTGACATCCCCAGAGAATAACACGGAGAACTTTGCGATGCAATGGCAAATTTTGGCGTGAGATGGCGCACTGTGTGCAGGGAGAACTAAACTTCTTGTTTGACGTCTTTTGTTAACAAGGTAAGAAGAATGAAAGGGTAATCCTCGTTTTAATCTACTTTATCTTGTTCTTGTTGCTCTCATAGCTCGAGGGTCTGATGTATGTCTTTGCAAGAATTGTCATGGTAATGAATTTTTGAGTAGTTTAGCCCAGCGAATTGTAAGAAGAGCTTCTTATTGGATTGTTACTATTAGAAAATTCTCTTCTTTCTCGTTTTCGTAGGATGTTTGTGTTACTGTGCTTTTTCTACGGCTATTTACTCAGATGCGGATTTTTATAGCTCTGAAAGTTGTTCGTTTCACTTGAATTTAGGCGTTACTTTCCTCGTTGGTTGTTTCTGTGTTGACAGGTGCCCATGAATTAGTTCACCAAATTCTAATCTTCTTGTAGGGCTTCGATGACAACACGTCTGATAGTCAAAGGCTTGCCATCGAATTGTACCGAGGCAAGCCTGCGAAAGTTCTTCAAAAAGTATGGCACAATGAGTGATTGTACGCTGAAATACACAAAGGAAGGGAAATTTCGAAAATTCGCTTTCGTTGGATTCGACAGTGAGGAGAATGCCAGTAAAGCGCTGCAGGAAACAAACCTCTCTTTTATGGGATCTTCACGTCTTCATGTAATGTTCATTTCAATACCAATTTAGATCCTTAAGTTGCTATTCGCTAGTCTCAATAGTTCCTTAATCGTTAAGGTAGAAGAATGCAAGCCGTTTGGAGACGCTAATAAACCACGTGCTTGGAGTCAGTACACTAAAGATAGCAGGTAATACCATCTAGTTGGAGCATTGATACTGTGGATCTGTTCAAAAATTGGTTGCTTTTGAGGTCATCCATTAGAACTGGAAGCTGAAAATCCCACAGATTGCCGGAGGCATTCCGACCCATGACAAATATTTTCTCATTGTAACAATGGGGAAAGTATCAGTCCCTGATTTCTTTCTAGCGGCGACTTGGCTCTTCCTACCCTGAAGCTCCCTTCCTCTGCAAATTCTTGAATTGCTGTAGTTGGCAGGAACTATTGCACCAGCTATAAGATCCCTCCTCCTCAACTACAAGAGCCTCTCCCTCATGAAAGGAGGTCGAGGAAGAGGAAATACAACAACTCTAAAGGGAGCGCATTCTTCTGAGAAACGGAATTCGCGTTTCGCTACGAAGGGTGTGCCCTTGGCTCCCTAACAAGGCACTGCCCACGGCGATAAGTTCCTTTCGTGGTTGTGCACACCCACCGACCCCAGCTGCTGGTTCCTCACTGTCGGATTCTAGCCGTTTTGGCAGAGAGGTAGAGCGTTCACGGTGGTGACGTCAGCACCGATGAAACTCGCCCATCGCGGAAGTCTGGGGAGAACCGGGGTCCCTTTCTGCACATTTCAAGCCTTTTTATTAGTTTTTCTGCACCTCTTAGCAGCTCTGCTTTCATACCCAGCGGGCGACCAAAACTATCGTACTAGCCTTCAACGAACAAATGTGGCCCATATCCGACAAGCACCATTTTTTTAAAGAAGTATCTCCTTTGAATTTTCAGTGCCTACAAACGAAAACACGAAGTTATTTCGCCTGATTCTCAAAAAGAACAAAAGAAAGCAAAGTCTGATGATGAAACAGTGGAGAAGAAGAAGAAAGTCGATCCGGATTATCGTAACTTTTTGGAAGCACAAGGAATCAAGGATGAAACGGTTCGTCACAGTAGGATTAGCTCTAGTACCTGAGTATATTTCCTTCATTCCAGCCTCAGAAGATTACTGTCCCTGATGCAGCTGTTGAGAACGAAA